AACATAAAAAATAAAATTCATGAAAGGAAAGCAAAATGAATGAAAGAAATTAAAATTATAAAAAATAATTTATTATCATCTTGAATATTGAAAACCTGCATTTAAAATTTGGTTAGTTTTTTAAAAAAAGAATTGCATTTCAGGCATGGCAGCTGATGTATTTCATAGTAAGTTCATTCTTAAGTAAGTAAAAACCTTAATTAAATAAAATCATAATTAAAAATCTTATCTGATTAAGAAATCCCGTCAACCCTGAAAGTTTTAACTTGTGTTATTCATTTCTGCAAAAGTTTAGGAACAGATTGTTCTTTATTTAGTTAGCAATCTACAAATACAAGATTTGGATATAGTATATAGAAATATTAAATCGGTTGTCATAATTTTTCATGTTGCATCACCATTGTTTAGCCCTTTTCAATACCAGAATACCAAACTTTGAAATTACTCCATTGTATGCTGTTTTTGTTGCAGGCAGGTCTGAAATTTTAAACATTTTTTGAAAATGCAAGGAAAAAATGGATAAATAGCAGTTAGCCTTGTATCCTTCTTCATAAAAGCTAAACCAGCTTATTGAGAATTTAAAAAGTACTATCCAGAAAGTTTTATGTAAAACCAAGGTAAAGATCTTATTGTGTTGCTGTATCATGCGTATACATTATTTCACTAGGTCACACTGTTTGGTGACAGTGATTTATTATGGCTTTATTAGTTTTATTATGGGGTATAATTTTTCAGGGATGAAAGTTTCTAAAATATTCCAATTTCTTGAACTTTCTGGTTAGTTTAATGATAGTTAATCAGGCTTTTACTGAACAATAAGTGAAATTAATTCTGCAACTAGCAAAAGATGATGAAATTTCAGGTCAGCAACACATGACTAAGTAAGCTGCAACGTGCACCCTAGATATTCTGCAAAGCAAATGCTGCTTCCTGTACCTAGATCCATTCATTCAGTTCAGGTAACAAGGATTCATAAATAAAGTAGTAGGGCAGCAAGGCTATTAAAAGCTTTTTCAAATTGAAGAACTCTGCAGTTATATACTTATTAACTAAATTCTGATGAGAGTTAATGAAAGTAGAAGTAGTACTAAAGCCAAAATGATAAGATAACTAAGTTAATTAACATAAAACCCATACACATGTTTGAGTCTATTATAAATTATAATTTTAAATAAAATTTCAAAGGACAACTGTAACACTCAGTAGCATCTTGCAGTCTGTAGTTAATTTTGATCTGAACCACGCATATTTTGAAATTTCTAAGAAAAGAATAGTTTTAGAGACATTAGGTTGTTTTGGAGCCAGACAGATGAAAAATCAGCAAAGCCTTCGCCAGGAATCGAACCGTGGACCTCTGGAGTTATGCACCCAGCATGCAGACCACCACACCAAGAAGGCAGGAGAAATACATTATATACACCCCTTTTTAAAGGGCGACTGGGGTTTTAGGGGACCCAGTCGTCTAATCCTGGTTGTGGAGATTCATCATCCACAACCCTTTTAGTTCGGGTGCCACTGTAGTGACATTAGGTATTTTTTGGAAGCAGGAAAGATGAAAAATCAGCAACACCTTTGTCTGGAATTGAACCCTGGACCTCTGGAATATGCGCCCAGCGTGCAGATCACCATATCAAGAAGGCGGTACTTTATATAGTAGTTTTTGACATGTCAGGAAATGCATCCTTCTAGTGTTCCTTGGGAGGGCATTTCTGTACAGTTCTGAATTTTTTTTTATAAACATTTTTACATTGCAAAAATATACATTGGAATAAGAGATAATAATGTTGGAGTAAAAGAAGATGAAAAAATATAAATTTCCATATTCCCTTTCAGCTATTATTTCATAAAGCATTGATGTTATTTTTTATTTATTCCCAATAGATGCATTTTCTAAATAGATGCTTTTGGAATTTTTTTTTTTTTTTTTTTTTTTTTTTAAGATTTCCTAAAAGTATAAAGTATGTGATACTAGATACTAGGATGAAATTGCCAAGGCCAAAGTAATACAATCTTGTCTAGTTGTATTGTAATCCATGGTGCCACTAAACCCTGATGGCAGGAAGTAGGTTTGATGAAGATATTGCAAATGATGCCATGCCCCATATTCAAATGGAAAGATGCTTTTTTGAATAATAGTATTGTGATTAACTCTTGATCAGCCATGAATATTGTGAAAAATAAGGATACCTGCCTGCTGGAATTATGCTTCATTAAATAGCACTTCAACAAATATAGTATTTCTGCTCATTTCCTGCAACAGACATTGCACAAGTGCTGTCCCTTGTGTAATCAGCCTGTTAATACAGATATGCTTTTCACATGAAAGTCTGCAAATGTGCCACACAGGGGTTATTATGGAATGAATGAATATTGGCTTCTATTCATTTGATGCTCGCTCTCTGATCTGCTGAGGTTTCATTGTCCTCTCTTTCTTCTGCCATTAGCATGTTCACATCAAAGTGCTGTCTATGATCTGTTCCCTTTAATGCAAAGGAATCTGTGTCATACCAATGGAGCATTTTAATGAAATTTGAGGCATCTGTTAGGATATGTTCTCCAGATAGATGATGTTTTCCCCAGTTATCAAATGGAATATTTTTGTAGAAGAACAGGCTTTTGTACTACTTTGTTACAGCCAGTGTCTCATATCATACCCTTCATCAAAACCTCACCTGTCATATTTGTATGAATTTGAAGTACTGTGTACATTTCTTCCACTTGACATCTTTTTCTGCATGGCCCAGGCAGTTAGCTTCCAGATCAAACTGTTGCTAATATTCAGTGCCTTGCTAACTCATGAACTGTATCTTACTACATAACTTTAGGACATATTTGCTTATTGCTTATTTGCATATTTGCTTAGGACATGATTTTTAGGGTTCGGTGATTCAGTTGCAGGATGCTTTATGTGTAAATGTTTACAAAACATACAAATACTCAACCAGACTTATCCAAAAATGAAGTAAATTGCTAGCAAAAATATTGTTTAAGCTTGGTTAATAGCATTCAACAAAAGTTTATATTCAAGTCATGGATGAAAAAAAAAAAAAAAAAACTTATTTATATTTTTGCGAGATTTTAAATTTTTTCATCTTTTCTATGTCTTTTTGTGATTATTATAGTGTTTTGTATTTACATTTTTAGTAAAAAGCATCATCATCCAAAATTTTAATTTATTATTATTATTATTTTTTTTGTTTTTTGCAAGTGGCTGTCTCAAAATGATTTGAAAAATTTTTTCATTTTTATTGTATTGTGGTATCCTGTATGATCTGAAGAACCTGTTAATGGTTCCAGGATGAATGAACAGATTGTACTTCTAGCTTACCCAGTCGGTTCAGTTGTTCTTGTGGTACTTTTTTCTGTACTGACTTACATAGTTGCAAATATATCAGTATCTGCATGACTCAGTATTGGGCATTAAACTTAGTATCTTGGATTTCAAAAACTAATTTTTTGATGCTTTATAAATTTTTGCCTCTGTTTGAATGATTTCTTGATCAATTTAAAGCTATATAGCAGCTCTGTCAGTGTTTGTATTTCTGTGAATTATATGAGAGCTTTACCCACAAGAATTTTCTTCATTTCTAAGCTTTTCAATCTAATTTTAGATTTGTAAACTTATTTTTTTGTGTAAGCTTATTTCTATGTATTATTCGTAAGCTCATTTCTCTGCATTTATTTTTTAAATTTAAGTCGTCGTTTAATCCTGTATTTAGGTGTGTGATTAACCGCGCACCTGTAACCAGGTGCACTGTTGATACCTATCACCCACATGCTTAATCTAAGGTTAAAAGTACCTATAAAATTATAGTATTTTAATCCAAATGATGCAGCCAGCGTTAGTAGTAGCATTGTAATGCAGATTCCAGCACTGTTTATGCATATTTGTCTGTATGTGCACTTTTATTTTTTTATTTTGCAATATGTTATTATTTCTTAGCAATTTATTGCTGGTTTTTTATTTTTATAATAAGCATTTTATTGCTTTTTGAGAATCTGCTTAAAGTTATTTTGGCTTACCGTTATGAAAAGTTCAGATATATTTATCTGATATATGTAGTCTTTGGTGCTCCAATGTATTTCTAAAGAATTCTCTGAGTAACCTACAGATTTTTATTTTCTGTGTAAATCAAATTATTTTATGATTGAATGTAACTATTGACAATGAATTTTGTGTTTCTTCCCTTAGGCTTGTTTGCTCAAAATAATTTTTCTTTTTTTCTGAGTTCAGCAGGGAGTATATTGATAAAAGTATTGCTATGCAATTTGTTAAATTATAATTTTTACAGTACTATAACTAGTTTTTAGTACTAACAAAGAAATACATATTATTAATAATCCATGTACCATTTAAGCTATTCAAATTCCCTTACCATTTAAAACTGCATGCATGTTCATGTATATTTTATGATAAAATTGTGATAAATACCATATTTACTTGTGTATTTCTTTCCCTTGTGTATTTCCCTGGCTTTTCTAGGGTTTGATTTAGAAACTATAGTTATCTGCATAACTTTTAACTTTCTCCTCGAATTCAGAGAGTAAACACTTCCCTGAAATTCTTCATTTTGGTATTCTTTGCACCTGCATTTCAAAGTTGTTTATCCATCCCTTTAGAAGCCTAGCAATATGGATAGTATCTCTAATCTAAGCAGCTCATTAAAAATGTTTTTGTGCACTTTGCACATGTACTCTAACAAATGCATAGTGGTGTACTGTGTGAGGCTTAAACAAAAAAGTATTAAAGACAATAAAACATTTTTTAAATACAATATGAGAACATTTATGTGTATGGAAGTTTTGTTATTTTTGCTTAGGTTTCTCCTTTACCTATATCTTACAGAAATAGCAACGCCTTGTAATTTTCTCCCTTTCAATCTTCAAGCTCTAAAATTAGTCAAATATTGGGGAATACATGAGTAAATACGGTAAATTGCTTATCAACTTTTTGTTTTTACTGTCTGATTGGTAATTGGTCAACAATTTTCACTTTTTAGCGGTCTGGAGATTTGTTTTTTGCATCAGTATAGTCTATGAGCTCTCTCTTATATTTATACTTTTTCAAGTAAGCATTTTGGAATTTTTTTGTACCATTATGTGTCAGTCATAAAATATTTATTTCTTGGTTGAGACATTAAGCATGTGGAATGTTTGTCAATTTTCTAATGAACATTCATTTCTAAGAATAGTAATTATAAATTATAATGTCTTGTAAATATTTTTCATTCTTTTCATTCTAAAATGTTTGCACTTTCTTACATGCAGTGAATTTTTATTAAATTTTAAATATATAACAGAAATTGTCTACCATAGAAAGAAATGCATCCAGTTATGAGTAATTTGTTAAAGTACATTTGACTTCCAGTTTGTACATTCCTGTGTGGTAATTTTTGTCTTCAGTTAAGAGTATCACTTTCATGTTATCTAATGTATTATAACTGACTTTTTCTCTCTTATGTAATTGCATTTAAAGTAGAAAAATGCATCACTAAAGTTTTATTTCTAAATTTCGGGTATCTAAACACATTCAGTGCTCAAAAAGATAATTTTTTCCTTTCATTGCCAGCACTGTCAAAAATTCTGCTTGTTCCTGTTATG